TGTGATTTTTCTTATTTAATCTTTGTGAATTTTATTTGATTTTCTAACATTAAAACAATCTTGTATTCTTGAAATAAAACCAACCTGGTCATGATTCTTTTATACACTGCTGGAATTAGTTCACTAATTTTAAAGTTTTACATGTATTCTTACTAGTAAAATTATCCTCTAATTTTTCTTTTGTGTTGTATTAATTTTATGGGCTAGCCTCATAAAATGATTTGGGGAGTGTTTCTTCCTTTCCTATAATTTAAAAGCATTTAGGTAATATTGAAGTTATTTGTTACATGAACAGCTGACAGAAGTAACTAGTAAAATAATGTGGATGTGGTGTTTTCTTTGCGGCAAGATTTTGGTTTTTTTTTTTAAAGATTTATTTATTTATTGATTGATTGATTGATACATACATACATACATACATACATACAAGCACTGGGTACAGTCAGAAGTGCAGGAGGGTGAGAGAATTCACCAGAGCCAGAGCAGGGAGCAGAGCAGGCAGAAGGACCGAAGTACACTGCTGAGGGGAGCAGCGGGCGGCAGGAGAGGTCTGCGCGCCATGTGGGACCCTCACAGGTGGCCGGGGAGCAGCTGGGGATCGAACCGGCACTGCAGAGGCTGCGGGCAGCTTTGCAACCCAGCGCTCAACCACTGCGCCACCGGGGAGGCCCTGTGGCAAGATTTTGAACGATTGATACCATTTCTTTAACAGTCGTAGATAGGGCTATTTTGAATTTTAATTTCTTTTCAAATCAGCTTATTTTTCTAGGAATTTGTCTTGTATTTCTCTATGTTTTCAAACTTATTATCATAAAGTTGTTTATAATATTCTCTATCTTTTCAATCTATGTGGCATCTATAGGTATAAGCCATGTTCTTATTCCTAATATGCTTTCTCTGTTGTTTTTTCTTGATCAATCTTGTTAAAGATTTGTTAGTATTATCAACCTTTTAAAAGAACTCAGTTTTGGTCTGTTGATCTTTTTTATGTATTTCTTTTTCATTGTTCTGTGCTCTTATTTTTTTTTTATTTCCTTCCTTATGAATTTCTTTGGTCTTGACCTACTCTTAGTTTCTCTCTCTCTCTTTATTTATGTAATAGGAGCACATAATATTTAAAATTCCCACTAGCATAGCAATGCTTTGGTTTTGGTAAATTATATAAGTTTTAACATATAGTACAATTTTATTGTAGAGTTGTTAAGTATTTAAACATTTCCATTGACTTATTATTTAAACCATGACCTTTTTTTTTAAGTCAATTTTTTTAAATTATTTTTTTTATTTTTACAGACATCATTGTTCATTTTAAAACAATATTTACTTCTCCCCACCCCCTCAGGTGTAGTCCCCATGGAATTCCTTCCCCAATGCACCCGTGCACCATCACCTCAGTCCCTGTGCTCCTCCTTCCCTCCCTCTGATCCCTCTCCCTCCTCCTCCCCTACAGGATGTCTCTGACTTATAATTGTCTGTTTTTGCTTTGTTGTGCTTTGCACTGTTATTATATTTTTACACTGATGTCTTATTTGGTTCCCCTATTGAAACCATATGATATTTTTCTTTTTCCTTCTGGCTTATTTCACTGAGCATAATTCCTTCTAATGCCATCCACGTTGCTGCGTATGGCATGAGTTTATCTTTTTTGATTGCTGAATAATATATTTCCATTGTGTATATGTACCACATCTTCCTGATCCTGTCATCTATTTTGGGGCATTTCGGTTGTTTCCAGGTTTTACCTATTGTAAATGGTGCTGCAATAAACACAGGGGTACAGGTGCTCTTTTGAATCAGTGTTTTTGTGTCCTTTGGGTAGATCCCTAGGAGTGGAATTGCTGGGTCATATGGTAGCTCCATTTTTAGTAGACTGAGGAACCTCCAGACAGCTTTCCATAGTGGTTGGATCAGTTTGCACTCCCACCAGCAATGTAGGAGAGTTCCTTTTTTACCACATCCTCGCCAACATTTGTCGTCACTTGTTTTTTTTGATATGTGCCTTTCTACTGGTGGAAGGTGGTATCTGAATGTTAACCCATGACTTTTTTTAGAATGTGCATCTTAATTTCCAAACATAATGGCTTTTTATTTCTAGTTTTTTGTTTGTAATTGATTTCAAATTTCAAAGTGTGTATATCTTCTTTGAATTGTGGTCAGGAAAAAAATGCTCTACACATACTAATCCTTGAAACTTGTTCACTCCTTAACATAACTAAACTTAAATGTTCCATATATTTCTTTTTTTTAAGATTTATTTATTTATGCATACAAGAACTGGGGTACAGGCCAGAGGTGTGAGGGATAGGGTGGGAGGATTCACCGGAGACAGAGTGGAGAACAGAACAGGCAGGCTGAATGAAATACACTGCTGAGGGGAGCAGATGGCATGACAGGAGAGGTCTGCTGTGCCATGTGTATCAGCTCCCTGGACGGCTTGGGATCCAACTCATGTTGCAGAGGCTGCAGATAGCTTCACAGTGCTGTACTTAACCCCTTGCGCCACCAAGGAGGCCCCGTATATTTCTGATAAAATGTATGTTCTGTAATAGTTGGGTCCAGTGGTATATGTAACTGAAAAAAGTTAGGTCTGTTATACATAAAAAAGCTCCCAAACTGTTTTCCAAAGCAATGGTATAGTTTTGCATTTCCCCCAGAGTTGTATTTGGATTCTAGGAACTTTACATTCTGGCAACACTTGGGACTTTTAAGTTTTAGCCATTTTAGTGGTGTAGAATGTAGTGTATCTAATTGTGGTTTTAATTTGAATTTCCCTAGGGAACAATGATAGTGCATATCTTTTCAGGTGCCTGTATACCACATGTGTATTTCCTTTGGTGAAGTGTCTGTCCAAATCTTTTGCCAGTTTCCTAAGTCAGTTGTCTTATTATTAAGTCAGAAGAGTTCTTTCTATATTCTGGATATAAAGTTTATGTATGTCTTCTCTATATTTTATATACTTTATATATTCGAGATACAAGAACTCTGTAGAACTTTGTTGAGTATACTTTCTCCAGCCTTCCCTCCAAAGTGGCCATGTGACTAGTTCCGACTCCCGCTTGAGTGGGAGTAATGTGTGCTGCTTGTACATCAACTTTTTAAAAGCAATGAAACTTTTCACTTTTTTTATCTTTCCCCTGGCTCTAACAAGATTTTAGGGGATGATAGAGCCATAAGCTGGAAGGGGTCTGGATCCCTGTGTCACCACATGGAAAAAAACTCCTTGTCTACTGGGAACATTGAAATTAACTTTGATAACTAGTGTTCCCCTAAACAAGATACCTGCTTTCTTTGATAGAGTTGAATCTCTACTCAGAAATTATATTTTTTTCTATATATCTATGTCTCTCTCTCTCTCTCTCTCTCTCTCTCTCTCTCTCTCTATATATATATATATATATATATATATACACACATATGCACACATCTATCTTCTATTTCCTCTTCAACAAATTTTAGTATCAAGAAACCATTTGAAGCTATTTCCAGAATTTGTACTCATAACTAGGTTATGTCTGCAAAGTTCTTCCAAGTTGAATTTCCTTCCTTTTTAAGGTCGAATGATATCCACTATGTAGCTGTATCACATTTTGCTTATCTACTCATCCATGGATGAAAATTCAGCTTCTTTCTACCTTCTGACTGTAGTGAATTTGCTGTTATGAACATGGGTGTATGAATATCTCTTTGAGTCCCTGCTTTCAGTGTTTGTGGTTATATACTCAGAATTGGAATTGCTGCCAAAGAGGTTTCTAGAACTAGTTTTTGGGGCTTTCCTAGGATGTTATTTTGAAATTTTGAAATTCCTCAACTAAGGGCACTTTTCTTTGAATGTGGATTTGAATTTTGAAAAACCTCTAGCAGGATTTTTATGGAAGCGGGAAACATTGAAATTAATTTGCTTCTTACTACTTCTTGGACTGGTGCTAGGGGGTTTACATATACTACATTTTCTAATAAAGCAGGCGGAGAAGTGAGGGTAAGTGTTTCCCTTCCCAGATGAGGAAACTAAGGAAGAGAGTGGGTAAGGGCCTGCCCAGTGTACAGTTTAATAATTACAAAGTTCAAGCTCAGTTGGCTCTGAGCTCAAAGCCTGTGCGTGGTCTATCAATTACCATGTGTTATCACTTGAAAGCTATTTGTTGTTCTACCAATTTAGGGAACAACATCTTGGATCAAAAAGATCTGATGATGGAGATGGATTTTAAAATATCCATTACAAAATTTTTCCCAGTCAAAAAGTAAATGAATAATCACTGTTTAAAATTTGGAATATAGAGAAGAGCAGAAGGAAAAGAGTTACCCATGATTCTACCAGTTACTGCCCATCAACTGTATCTTCTCTAAAATGTTTACTTGCATTTTGCCCATCTTTGGACTGGGCATGGTGCTTGCTTGACCACTACATGCCGAGAAGAGACAGCATGTAGTGATCTCAAGAAGTCATGACTTTTCACTTGTTTACTCTTTTTTTTATTTTATTTTTATATTCCCCATACAATTGCACCCCTCTTATTTTGACCCCAATCTCTCCTTCCCCCCCACCCCAAAGTGTGTCTCTGGTTTACAGTGGTTTGTGGATTTTGATTTTTTCTTTCTTATAGTTATTCTTTGTTTATTCTTTTTAAAAAAATTTTATTTATCTTTGTATAGAAGAACTGGGGTGTAGACCAGAGGTGCGGGGGGTGAGAGGATTCACCAGAGACAGAGTGGGGAGCAGAACAGGCAGATCTACTGAAATACACTGCTGAGGAGAGCAGCGGATAGGAGAGGTCTGCTCGTAAGCAGGTCTGCTGCTTACAAGACAGGAGAGGTCTGCTGCGCCATGTGGGTGAGCTCCCTGGCTGGGGATCGAACATTGGGACACCAGCATGATAGCGCTGAGACTTAACCCCTAGGCCACCAGGGAGGCCCTGTCTTTTCATTTATAAAGACTTACACTGTCAGGAGAAGGGAGGCAGCGTGGCAGTCACAAAACAGCATTGCTCTGAATTCCTTTCCAGAAAGAATGAGTGGAGGTCTTGCAACTGTGACGAATGCTGTTAACTGAGGGCCTCGGGCTGCAGCAGGTGAGCCAGCTTCATGTTCTTCCCTGATGGCACCTCCCAGGCCAGGGGCTGAGGTGGTAGAGGCACCAGCACCCAAATTCCTGTGTCATGGGGAACTCCACTGGGCAATTTTGCTCCCCTCCCCATGGGGTTGGCCCAGATCTCCCATGATCTCCACAGTGGACTGAGGGCCTATAGTGCCAGCAAGGCACAAGAGCAGGATCTCTATGATCTGGGCAGACGGGTAAAGGAGAGTCCTGGAGCCCTTGATGGCTTTTTCAGGCTTTTATTGAGTTTTTTACATCATTTGCAGTGTGGAAACCAGGTTACTTAGCAGGCAGGTGGGGCGGGGGGCCAGGAGGCAGGCAGGCCTCCCAGCAGCTGGCAAATCTTCACTCTTTCTGGGCTCCCTGGCGTGGTTTCTTGGTCTCTGCTTCTGCTCTGCTACTGCTGCTACTGCCGCTTCTGCTGGCATCCCTGTGACGCCGCCCTTATATGCCCAGCCTCTCAGCCCAGGTGTGCCCACTTACTCAGGCCCACACTTTAGTATAGGTGTCTGCCGTGAGGCACAAGGGTAAGCCCACAGGTGTGGATCTTATATGCTAATGGTGGGAGGGCAGAAAACCCTGACAATTTCTATTTACCCTACAGGGCCCCATGCCCTATTTCCCCACACCCCCTTCCTTTCACAGGATCACATCTGCAGGCACTGGGAAGAAGGTGTTCCCTGTTTCTGCTCCCTCCCATCTTCATGGTTTTTGCTCCCCAACAATTCTCTCACTCCTGACTCCAAGTGTGCATCTGCTAACTCCTAACTCTAGCAGGACCCCAATGGACACAGGGAGTGACTCTTGATAAGAAGATCTGTGCATGTTTGAGTTTTTAGTCTTTGAAAAGCTAAGCTTAGAACTTCTATAACCAGGCATTTTCAACATACCACCCATTTGGGATTTCATTCAGAGCCTAACATTGTGTTTAAGAATTGTGTGTTTTCTGAGTATTTTCCAGAATCCAATAATCTTATGTCTTCCTATTTTAAGAAGTACAAGTTCTTACAATGGAAGAACTTGGAGAAACCACAGAAGAAACACTAATAAAAGAGTAGAGATGAATGGAAATGTGACATGGAAACCAAACCTTGCAGTAAGAGATGGTCAGATGACATTGAAAAAGAAATGAGAGGATGCAAGACAGCCACTCTCTAGAAGTACTGCTTATTCAATAGTCTGAATAATGTGGAGGAACACGAAATAGTAAAAATGTGTTACAGCTGAGAGTCTTACAATGTAAGCGAATGTGAATTAAGTGCTAAATACATAAAATAAATATGAGACTAGTGGCACCTTCTGTAACTCACATCACTGCGGGAGCTTTTAAGAGCTGCTAATAAAATAATAATGCATTTTATTTATCTGTGTTTGGAAATGCAGCAGACCAATTCAAGTGGCCATGTATCCTACCTCCCATGGTCAGGAAGGCAAGTTGGTAGCTGTAGTCTTGTGTGTGTTCTCTGCACACTTTTCCTTTCCAGGTAACTTAGTGAGGCTCTTGCAGTGAAGGTGGTATCTCAGGCTGATGGAAGCATTTTCACCCTGCAGGTAGGTCTGAGGTCTTGTGTGTGATGCCTGCAGCTGCTGGCTAGGAGGCAGGGGCAGGGGCTCCATTCTGCTCCTGCCATGAGTACCTGGATCTTATGTCCAGGGCCACTGTAGGGTAAATGGAAGTTATCAGGTTTTTTTTTTTAATTTTTTAAAGATTTATTTTATTTATTTATACATACAAGAGCTGGGGTACAGGCCAGAGATGCGGGGGGTGAGAAGTCACCAGAGACAGAGTGGGGAACAGAACAGGCAGATTGACTGAAGTACACTGCTGAGGGGAGCAGTGGGCGAGTCAGGAGAGGTGTGCTGGGCCATGTGGGTTGCTCCCTGGCAAGCCAGGGATCGAACTCATGCTGCGTTGCTTAACCCCTTGCGCCACCAGAGAGGCCCCGAAACTTAATTTTCCTGATGGAGGAGAAAAGAAAGGAGCCCTTTCTACAAACTTAGCCCAGGTCTGTTTCATAGTCTTGTCCACCATGAAATAAAATTACATTTCTTATGGAGAGTTATTGATTTAGTCCTCTCCACACGCCCATCTAAACCTTCAAATTAGGTATAATAGATGTATGAATTTGGGCTAAAGCTTCTAACTTCTGTCATAAATAGCAAGTGATATGTAACCCTGGTCATGTTCCTTAGCTCCAGAAAACTGAGATTTTTCATCTGAAAATGGGAATTGTATTTTCATTCATTAATTTTCCTTTATTAGAACTCTGAGTTAAGAGTTCATCTAGGGCCTCCCCGGTGGCGCAGCGGTTGAGCGCTGGGTTGCGAAGCTGCCCACGGCCTCTGCGGCGCCGGTTCGATCCCCGGCTGCTCCCCGGCCACTGGAGGAGGGTCCCACATGGCGCGCAGACCTCTCCTGCCGCCCGCTGCTCCCCTCAGCGGTGTACTTCGGTCCTTCTGCCTGTTCTGCTCCCCGCTCTGGCTCTGGTGAATTCTCTCGCCCTCCCGCACTTCTGACTGTACCCAGTGCATGTATAAACAAACAAACAAACAAATAAATAAATAAATAAAAAACATGCCTCTAAAAAAAAAAAAAGAGTTCATCTATATCCTCCTCACTCCTCCTAACACCTCTGTTAAGTAGATCTTTTTGATACCTTTTTATTGATGGGAAAACAGACTCTGAACAAAACTACCTTGTCAGGGTCACGCATGTCTGACGTTGCTACTTATGTGTGAACAGGGCTCTGCAGGTGCTCTTGGTGTAAGGGGTGGGCTCCAGAATGAGAAGACAGGTTCAAGTCCTCATCCACCTCTTGCTACCTGGGAAATCTTTTTCTTTTGTTACCAAGTTTCAGATGTTTATTAATCTATGTAAACCCCAACACAATACACCATGATTTCATGCATTTTGAGGGAACTATTTTTTGAAAAGACCTTCATATTTTTTTTTTTTCCAAGATTTATTTATTTATTTATACAAGCATTGGGTACAGTCAGAAGCGCGGGAGGGTGAGAGAATTCACCAGAGCCAGAGCAGGGAGCAGAACAGGCAGAAGGACCGAAGTACACTGCTGAGGGGAGCAGTGGGCGGCAGGAGAGGTCTGCGTGCCATGTGGGACCCTCCTCCGGTGGCCGGGAAGCAGCCGGGGATCGAACCGGCGCTGCAGAGGCTGCAGGCAGCTTCGCAATCCAGCGCTGAACCACTGCGCCACCAGGGAGGCCTGAAAAGACCTTCATTTTAAGCCACTTTATAGTGAAATACTTTATTTAGAAGTCTGGACCTTCTTCACTTTGCTGTGATCTACATCACTACGTGGAACTGGTTTTGATCTTTGAGATCCAGTTTGTTCCAGGGCTCTGGGTTATTCTTTCTGCCCCAACTGACATCTGGATGGAACAAAGTCAGACACATGACATACAACTCTGCTCCCTCACCTCCAGCTCCAATAAACACAAAGGGGGAATCAAGCTAGGGTATTTCTTGGCGTGGCTGAGGATCTGGTGGAGCATGGATGCAGGGGGAGGTCTTGGGCCAGGAAGGAGGTCTTGGGCCAGCCTGACTCCTTTACCCAGACCGGGTAAAGGAGTCAGGCTTGAACCTGCAAGCCCCTTGACAAAGTATCTGCTTAGCTGGGAAATCTTGAACATGGCATTTAACCTCTCCAATCTTCAATTTTCATTATTGCTCTCTGTTTTACTTTCCAAGCCTCTTTTGGGCAGATCTGCCAGCAGTCCTAGGAGGTAGGAGAATGGAACAAGCAGCAGGCGGCTGCAGCTGCCCCGTCCCAAGCTGGGGGAGTGAGATCTACCCTTTTCCAGTCTGGGGTCTCCTCCAGGCAGGAAGGAGAACATGTGTGCCCATCTGGATAAACAAGTGCACGACTGACTGGTCACACACTTAGACTAACCGCAGTAGCAGAAGCAACAGGTATGGGCTGGACTCACATGTTCCCTTGAGGGTGTGGTTCAGGTGAACCCTTGATAATGCATGATTTGGATGATACCTCCCACAACCTCAGCTTACACTGCGGCACAGACTTCTCTCAAATTCCTTCTTAGAACTTTCCTGAAGGATCGAGCCAGCTGGAATCTACATGGCCCCACCTGCAATGACTATTTATTTGCATGTGGCTTTTCTCATCAGAACCTTGTACCATAAGGTGGGAGGCCTGTTGCCAGGGTTATCAGGTATATGCCATTTCAGCCTTTACTGAGTCCCGACCCTATCTGGTTAAACTTCTCCTATATTCCAGACTTTTTAAGGCTCCTCACATTTGTGATCATCAAACAAATACACTGATGTTTCTCTTCTTATTTTCTATTATTCTGTCGGTTCTTTTGGACTTTTACTTTAACCTGAGTTTACTGGCTTCACTTTCTATGTCTGTTGACTTGGCCTGACCCCTTCTCCTCCTCCCAGATAATAAATGACTCTCTCTGAGCAATGCAGTCTCCCAGCACCTAGCTCCCAGGTTACGGGAGGAGTAATTGAGATAACGTGTGAGAGCACCAGGCGCGTTGTAACTAATACAAATGAGCTATAATTATGTAAACAACAGTCACCCTGTGTGGTATGAGCTATGAGAGCAAGAAGTACAAAGTACACTAAAAATGTTCAGTAGCTGAGAAATGTTAAACAGAAGTTGATTACAACTACTGTGTATCCATACCCTGTACCTTTATTTATCACCAAACATTAATTGAGATCAACTGTAGGGCCAGGATGGCATGGGGCAGGATGGCATAGAGCAGGAGCACTATGATTCGAGCAGATGGGTGAAGAAGGAGTCCTGGCACCCTCGGTGGCTTTTCAGGCTTTTACTTTATTGCTATTTTACCAGGTATACTGCAGGCAGGGGTGCCGGGGGTGCCCAGGAGGCTGGCAGGCCTCCCAGCCCCCGGCTAATCTTCTCTCTTTCTGGGCTCTCTGGTGTTCTTTCGTGGTCTTGTTCTCTCTCTTCTGCTTCTCTTTCCTTCTCTTTCTTTTCTGGTAGTTCCGTTCTGTTCCCTCACTTGTTCTCCTTCTGGTAGTTTCTCTGGTGTCCCCGTGATGCCGCCCTTATAAGCCGAGTCTCAGCCCAGGTGTACTCACCTATGCATGCCCACACCCTACTCCAGGTGCCCGCCATCGGGCATGCATGTAGGACCGCAGGGACCCATCATCAATCCTAATGGCGGGAGGGCAGAAAAGCCTGACAATCATTTACCCTACATCAACTGTGGCCATTTGTTGTATTCACCACTGCCCCATGTCATTTTATTTTTTTGTTGTTAAACAATTTTTAAAGTTGTGATAAAATATACACGTGATAAAATTTGCCATCTGTAGTGGCAGGAATGGACACAGTGCAGGTTTTCTATGATCCAGCAAACCGGGTAAAGGAGTCAGAGTCCTCAGTGGTTTTGCAGGTTTTTATTGGGATTACCAGGTACCCGGCAGGCAGGGGCGCTGGAGGGCCGGTAGGCTGTCAGGCCTCCCAGCCTCCAGCAGGTCTTCACTCTGGGCTCTCCGGCCTTCTCTCGGATTCTGCCTCTCTTGCTTCTCTCTGAGCTGCTTCTGCTGGCATCTCCATGACGCCACCCTTAAAAGCCCAGTCTCAGCCCAGGTGAATCCCTTCTACCTCTGCCCACAGCCTATTCCAGGTGCCCGCCATCAGGCATGCATTCAGGACCGCAAGGATCCATCATCTATCCTGATGGCGGGAGGGCAGAAAAGCCTGACATTTTTCCTTACCCTACACCATCTTAACCATTTTTAAGTTTCAGTGGCATTAAGGACATTGGCATTACATGTACTGTCACCGCCATCCACCGTGGAACTCTTTTTGTCTTGCCATGTCCAGTGTCTTTGGAATTATCTTTCCCTACCTGGGAAAGTTCTTCATCTGTCTTCCCAACGAGGAAGTCTGAACTCACATTCCCTCCTGCCCTGGGCCTGGGTGTGGGCGGATCAGGCTCCACCCATCAGATGCATCCCACAGACCTTGATTTGGAAGACTGGGCTGTAGTTGTAAATTGGCCATCTAAAAGCCACGGAGCCTCCAGGAGCTGCAATGGTGATGGTTCTTAGAGGAATCAAGGTCAGGCTTCTGACACGGTGAAAACAGCGCTGCTATAGTAGTGTCTGCAGTAGGGTGGGGTACTTGGCACTTAGCCCTTGGCATTGGTGATGGTTTCCTTATCAGACCATGGTTTAGGGTGTATTTGTGGATGTTTCAACTCAAGACTGCTTTTGAATAAATTTCCTTCCTCCTCCCTCTCTTCCTTCCTTCTTACCTACCAGGGCATTAGAACCATGCCACTGCTTTTTAAAAAAAATTTATTCTATTTATTTATGCATACAAG